ATACAATGGAATATTACTCTGCCATAAACAAGAATGAAATGTTTCCATTTGTGACAACATGGGTGGAACTAAATAGTATTATGCTAAGTGAAATACGTCAGAAAAAAGACAAATGGCATATGATTTCACTTACATGTGGAATTTAAAAAGAGAAATAAATGAACAAACGAAACAGAAACGAACTCATAGAGAACAAACTGATGGTTGTCAGATGGAGGGGGTTTGGAGAGATGGGTGAATAAGGTGAAAGGGATTAAGAAGTATAAATTGCCAGTTATAGAAGTAGTCAAGGGGATGTAAAGTACAGCATAGGAAATGTAGTCAATAATATAACTATGTGTAGTGTCTGATGGTACTAGACTTATCAGGGTGATCACTTTGTAAGGTACATAAATATATAGTCACTATTTTGTATACCTGAAACTAATATAATATTGCATGTCAACTCTAATTAATATAAATTTAAAAATAAAATAAAAATTTTTAAGTGGCTTCCAAAACTTTTTTAGAATCACATTCTAAAATATCTTACACGAGATTTTATATAAAGGGCACTGACACAAAGAACAATGTCCTTGATAATACAGCAAATACGGCTGAAATGTTTTATATGGTTACTTCAAGTAACTTGCTTAAGTGAAGTTGGAAGGTATCATTAAAACACTACTCAGTGAAGGTGATGGTGCTAGGGGCTGCTTTTGCAATATGTATTGCTTTTACACCAAAGAATTCTTATATATAGATTAGTTTTCCCAATTAAGCAGCAATTCTTATTTAATGGCTAGGAGGTCCCCCCATCAGAAATAAAAGGTGACTTGACATGGCTAATATAATTACTTCATTTAGGGACAGGCCTAATAACTGAACCTCTAGATTCGGCAGGAAAGCTTAGTGTCTCACAATTTTAACAGGACTGCAATCCAAGGCTTTGGAAGAATTTGCTGGAAATTTTACCCCTTCAAAGGTGTGCCCTCTAACTACAGGGATGTAGTTTGCTGCAAGCACATGGATAATACATTCTGGAGATACAGAATTATAAAGGTAAACAGTTTCGGTGTTAAAAAGCAGAAACATCCAATTTTCAGTATCATATAAAAAAAAAATTATAAACTACCCAAAGCAGTATTTTATATAACCACCTGGATTGGCTGTGTTCAAACACACTGAAATGTTTATAAAATGCATGGAAACGGCCAGGGGCAGCAAGGAATAGTCAACTAAAGCATCTGCTATCTAAGTTCAGTATTTCTCCTGTAATCTGAATTGGGAATCATAAAGCTGGAAAATATCTAGAGAGGGCATCTAGCCTGCATATATGCTTATAACCCATTTTCAAAGATCTCTGTTTAGATTTCTAGTGGAGCTTGATCTTATCTTAAATCTTAACACCTACAGCCTAAGACTAATTCCTTTTATCTTAATTCCTTTCATGGTCTTCAGATGAATCTCTATGTTCCTTGTCCATACTTTTACAAGCTTGGAAATCATTAAGCAACTAGTCCTCTTTCATTAACAAGCTAACCACATTATTTTTACCTTTCCTCAAACATCTTATTTGCTAATCTTTAGGCCTCTTCTTACTAGAGCATCTCTTAATACTTTTGAAACAGTTTGGTACTTTAATACGAGCTTCACAAATTCCCAGAATTTAGATTTTTCTATGATTTGTTCAAACACAAACAATTTCATTTGTAAGTATCAATGCTATATCCTGGAATCAATTATTTGAAACAATATTCTAGATCTGGGGTAACTGATCTCATATAGCTTACATTCTTATGGGAAATATGGACAATAAACTTGGAAACAAATAAGATGTCAAATTGAAGTTCTGTGAAAAACATAAAAGTGATAGGGGTAGAGAGGCCTTTTGTGAGGAGGAAGGCAATAGCCCTGCAAAGATATGAGAATAATGTTCCAAGCAATTTTTGACTGAAGTAGGTTTAACTATTCTGCTACATATTTACATGCATTCCTTCTGCATTAGATATCCTTGCACTGTTCCCTACTGAATCTTCCTGTTCTTATTGTGAAGACTAATTCTATCTTTTAAAAGCATTTCATTACCTTCTTAATTGGTGTACCCCATAAGTTTTTAAGAAGTATGCCTTCTAATATAAACTAGTACTTTATAATATTAGCTAATTATTTAGTTTAGGATGTGTTTCTGTCAAATTGTTTTTAATGGGTGAAAATATTTGAAAAAAAGTTGTTATCAGATAGGCCTACACAAACTTCCTAGAAAATAATAATTTGGTGATGCTTTGTAGGCAAAGCAGACTAAAAGAAAATTGGCAGAGTATGACCCATTCAGATGAGGCTGAAGAGAGGATGGAAGATGTAGTGAATCATTGATCGGTTGGTCTAACAGTGAAAAGGGATGATAAAGAATTTAGAGGTTGGTAGACAGGTCGCGTATGTGAGATGAAGAGGCAAATCAACCAGCAAGGTTCAAGAAAACCTTCTGTACCTCAACAGCTCTTTGAGACATACTGCCACCACCTGGGCAATAGGCAATTGTGAAGTATTAGGAAGATTTTAGTCGTGATCATTAGTGAAGTGACGATTATAGAATCAAGAAACATACTTTCATTTTATTAAACTGGCATTTTTTGCCAAGTCTTTGGACATTAAAAAAGAGTAGAGATTTTGCAGATGTGTTTAGAATCCTGCTCTACTTTTTAAGTCTCTGGTTCCTTAACTGTAAAATGGGTATAAGAATACTAACCTGTGGGGTTGTTCAGTCTCAGTTAGTGGCAATAGATGGAGCATCTAATCCAGTTTTCAGTACATAGTCAGAACTCAATAAATAGCTTTAAAAAATTATTATTCTTCACTATGATCTTCCAAATATCACTAAAACTTGATTATGACTTTTTTTAATCACATAAGTATGCCCATTAAGAAATGTACTTGTGTTGTGTTTTTATGGAAGAAAAACACTCACAATTAAAACTTA